TGTCGACACTGTTCGCAGTTTTCGTGATCGAAGATATGACTTCAAGGGGAAGCAGAAGGTCTGGAAAGGCAAGACTGAGGCTTTGAAATCGTCTGGTGCATCGGCTGCAGAAATTGATGAGGCGAAGAAGATGATTATCTTGTATGACTCCCTGCAGCTTGCCCACAAAGTCATTCTAAACAGTTTCTACGGTTATGTGATGAGAAAGGGTTCTCGATGGTATTCCATGGAAATGGCTGGCGTGACATGTTTGACCGGAGCTCGCATTATTCAGATGGCACGAGAGCTGGTTGAACGTATCGGTCGCCCTCTTGAGCTCGATACTGACGGTATCTGGTGTATGCTTCCTGGTTCGTTTCCCGAGAACTTCACCTTCACTCTAAAGAACGGCAAAAAGCTCGGTATCTCCTATCCCTGTGTTATGCTCAACCACCTTGTGCACGGAAGCTACACCAACCACCAGTATCAGACTCTTGTCGATCCAGCTTCATTCAGATATGAGACCCACAGTGACAACTCTATCTTCTTCGAGGTTGATGGGCCTTACAAGGCGATGATTCTGCCCACTTCCAAGGAGGAAGATAAGAACTTAAAGAAACGTTATGCTGTTTTCAATCATGACGGGTCTCTGGCGGAACTGAAGGGTTTTGAGGTCAAGCGTCGAGGAGAGCTGAAGCTCATCAAGATTTTCCAGACCCAGATTTTCCGCTTCTTCTTAGAAGGGTCTACGCTTACCGAGACTTACGCCGCAGTAGCCAAAGTGGCTGATCGGTGGTTAGACGTGCTGTACGAGCATGGTGCGACTCTGGCCGATGAGGAACTGATTGACCTCATTTCTGAGAACAGAAGCATGACCAAGACGCTCGAGGAATATGGGAACCAGAAGTCGACATCTATCACAACCGCTCGACGCCTCGCTGAATTCTTGGGAGAACAAATGGTCAAAGATAAGGGCTTGAACTGCAAGTATATCATTTCTTCGAGGCCAAGGAACACTCCTGTTACTGAGCGGGCCATTCCTGTAGCCATTTTCTCAGCCGAGGAAAGTGTCAAACGCTTCTTCTTACGAAAGTGGCTGAAAGATGACCCTGGTGATATGGATCCTCGAACGGTCATTGACTGGGAATACTATCTCGAGCGCCTGGGCTCCGTGGTGCAGAAGCTCATCACCATCCCAGCTGCCCTACAAAAGATTCGAAACCCTGTGCCCAGAGTGGCACATCCGGATTGGCTGCAGAGGCGTATCAATCAGAAGGATGACAAATTCAAGCAGACGAAAATGACGGATATGTTCACCCGGTCAGAGAAGACCCCCTTGACAGACATCTCCACAAACATCCTTGATCATCGCGTCCAACATACTGGTGACCTGGATGAGGTGATTGGCAACTCCACACAGAAGTCGAAATCGTCACCCGAAAGCAAGGTTTCTCAAAAGAGAAAGCACCCTGAAGGTCTTCCCAAAACCTCCCTTGATCCTTTTGCTACTCTACCAACCAAGATGCCATCGATTACAGATGACTACGTTGGATTCCTGAAGTATCAGAAGCAGAAATGGAAAATCCAAAAACAGGCTCGGATCCGTCGCCGTCAGCTGTTCGGAGAGAGGGTCAATGTTACTACCGATTCCTTGAGCAATCTTTTCCGGAACCAGGCGGAGCTATTGTATATCAATACATGGCAGGTCTTACAGCTTGCTGAAACATCGCGGCCTGGTATTGTGCGAGCATTTGTCCTCATCGATCGGAAAGTCCATGCACTCACTGTTAAGGTTCCCCGACAAATATACGTCAACCTGAAACAGGATTCTCTTCCGGATGTGGATGTCCCTGACTGTGAAGTTGAGAAAGTCAACCATACATTACCAAATGGACATCCGTCAGTTCATTTATTCAAGTTGACATTATCGGAGGAGACATACATTCGCGAAGCCAACAAGATTGATATCCTTCTGCAACACCCCAGTGTTGAAGGTGTTTATGAAAGGAGCATTCCTCTCACCGTTCGCGCAGTCCTCAAACTCGGCAGTATTTGCACATTCGATGAAGAACAGCGAGGCGTTCTCGGAGAAGGCTTGGATAAGGGATTCGACCTCTCAACTCTCTGTCATACGAATACCGATCAGCCTTATCTGCTAGACGCTCCTATGGCATACCACTATCTGTATCATGTTACTTCTGGCGACAGGCAGATATTTGCCATCTTCTCCACGACGAAGAATGAGGCTCACATCGTTATCCTTAATCGTACCCGGGACGTCCAAGGCCTTCCAAACGTCGATAAGATTTACGCGGAACTTCGTGCGCGCAGACTGCAGAACTTAGCTGCGGACAACACACAGACTGCTTTCGAGTATCAGGAGAAGCTTCATTTCAAGACCACGCAGGTGACCACAAGAAGGAAAGCTCACTTGGAGGTGGGGGATCTGATCAAGAAACTGAAATCCGAGGAGACTCAGCCTGCCATTATGGTCATTCAGTCTCATCAAAGAAGCTGCCTATGTCACGACGTGCCCATATTGAAGGAATACCCTATTCTACCTGTGAAGCCTGAGGTTTCAGACATGGAACTTCCGCCCTTAGGTTGGCAGACTTTTGTTGCTCGGCGCTTGGTCACACATTATCTTTATCTCTCTGCTTGGGTGCAGCATATGACCTTGCTCGCAAGGTATGGTGATGTTCCTCTCTGCAATCTGGAGAACGACGATCCTCGCTTCATGATCGATATCTCCTATGCCAGGCGTCTTCAACAGAATAACGTTGTGCTTTGGTGGTCCTCGAACCCGAGGCCTGACCATGCAGGCTATGAGAAAGACGACATAACAGGCCCTCTGGAAAAGGTTCCAATGCCGTCCGTAAATATGCCGAACGCATATACAACTGTGTGTATTGAGCTCGAAGTGCGCAACCTCGCCATCAACACGATTCTGACCTCATCCATCATCAACGAAATGGAGGGAGCAGATACACTGCTGGCATCATCTGGCACATCAGCCGACGCGAATGGAGGGGTGCTCTACTCGGAGAAGGCATTCACTTCAGCCGGGGCCGTTGTTCTTCGGGAAATGGTGAAGAACTGGTGGACTGAAGCTTGTGATGGAAACAGTATGGCTGATATCATGGTGCAGCATCTGATCCGATGGGTGGAGAGTCCTGCTTCCTGCCTATATGATCAATCACTGCACCATTATGTGCGCATGTTGTCAAGGAAATCGTTCCAGAGACTGATGGCCGAATTCAGACGAGTGGGTGCAAACATTATCTTCGCAAGCTCCACTCGCCTTCTACTCCACACCACCAAGACGGAAGTGGGCAACGCCTATGCATTCAGCCAGTACGTCCTGAAGTCCATTCGGGCAAATCCGTCATTCCACTTCATCGACCTCGAGATCAAGGAATACTGGGACTATTTACTCTGGTACGATGAATACAATTATGGTGGCAAAGGATGCCAGGAAGTGGCCGAGTCCGACGAGCAGCCGTTGGAGACGGTCATGCATTGGCAGCTTAGTCGGTTCCTACCCACGCCCATGCAAACTATCTTCCATGACTGGGTAGTCGAGTACATCGAGTTGATGCACGGTCTGAAACGCCCTGATAACGACTCATCGACTCCTCGGATGACGCAGATCCCCATCGGGCGTCCGAGTGATGAAGAAAGTGAACAAATCTCGGCTATTCTCGCCGAGAAGTTTTCTAAACCGTTGAAGAAGCAGATTACGGGTCTTATTCGCCGACAGCGGGATGAATTGCTACACCCGGAGCTGGCATCCGACTATGCTTTTCCTGTCCTTCCTGGTGTGCTTTCAAACCCCAATGACGAGAAACGCAACCCGGTTCTGGAATTGGTCAAACTGCTGATGCAGGTACTCAGTCTGTCCAAGACTACCACAATGGAGACACGACTGCTGCGTCGGGAGCTACTTGCGCTGTTTGAGATTCGAGAATTTAGCAAAGAGGGTCGATTCGAGAACCCCGGAGCAAGCTTGAAAATCCCTGAGCTCACCTGCAACGCCTGTTGTCTGATCCGAGACCTGGACTTGTGCCGAGATGAAGATGTGCTTCCTGATCCTGGCACGGAGTCGAACAAATCTTCGGTGAAACCTTGGCGCTGTCCCTTCTGTCAAACCGAGTATGACCGGCTCGCGCAGGAGGAGACCCTCATTGGCCAGGTGCAAGGATTTATTGTTGGCTGGCAGACTCAGGACCTCAAATGCTCCAAGTGTGGGGGATTGAAGATCAGTGATTTCATGGAGCATTGTTCGTGCAGCGGGGTGTGGGTGGAAACGATGAACCGCGGAGAGATTGAGAAGAAGCTACGGCTCCTGGATAGTGTTGCGAAGTTCCACAACCTCAAGCTGCTGGAGACTGTCGTGGGGGAAGTTCTAGGACAGATGTGATATGGTTGGTCTTTGTGCTCAGCGTTAGGTTCAGGTTTGTTGGTGACAATACCCTGCTTGGTAAATTATGATAGGAGGATAATAGCTTTGGATACCTTGGCGTTTAAGGGGCGGTTAGCATAGCCTTGCGCATGAGCTTTCTTGTATATAGTTATAGATCAAGTGGATACATAGTCGTGGATTGTGGCTAAATATTCTTTTGGTTGTTTTCCTGGCGAATTGTACTGTACAGGCAGTGGAGAGGAATGGCTTTATCTTAGTTGCACGTGCGCCACCTAAACAACTAACTTAACTCGACTAAAAAGGATAAGGTAAGGTAATCCGCAATCGCATCCTCGATCAAGCTCTCGACACTTTCGACAGCCGTCTCTTTTCTTCTTTAATGTTTAGACTACTTTAGACTACCTGACAAGATACACAGGTACACAGATTCACAACCACCCCTTTTCCAGTCAACTCACCGAATCGTACTCGAGTACGTGCCTGACCCGTCAGTGGCCAAGTTTCCACCGCGGACCCCGCAGTCGGATGCACTCCCCACCACCCAAGCCGATCGCGATAGGACGAAACAGTCCCTTCCTCTTACTCTCCCCCTTTTCCCAGACGGATAGCAACATCTCCCTGCTCGGACGAGAGCTCGGAAGTCTGTTCCCTCTGTACGCCGATCTTCCCGTTTCCAGTCGTTTCTTCAGGGTCGCTATTGTTGTTGTTTGCTGTTCTCCGTTCACTTTAAGCTGACTGCGGGGCCGCGTTTCACAGGCACTTTACTTATCAGCTCTCACTTTCTCCTCCTCGCTGTCTCCGCTGAGCTCGTGGCAGCACCGGCTGTTGTCGTGTCTCGCTTCTATTATCCTCTTGCCACGACCCTATATATTCCCGGATTTCTGCACTGCTCTTGATCCATGGCATCACCAGCGCAAACAAGCCAGCGCCCCAAGGTCCAGCCTTGTCGGTACAAGACTGGCAAGACGCTAGGCGCCGGTTCTTATTCTGTGGTTAAAGAATGCGTGCACATCGATACGGGCCGTTACTATGCGGCGAAGGTGATCAATAAACGCTTGATGGCCGGGCGCGAGCACATGGTAATTATTTCTGAACTACTACCGGCCAAATGGGATGCACAGATATGATCGCACAGAGGCTAATGGTATGGGCGATCTATGCACCTTGACAGGTCCGGAATGAGATCGCAGTGCTGAAGAGAGTATCGATGGGTCACCAAAACATACTGACCCTAGTCGACTATTTTGAAACCATGAACAATCGTATGCCATCCCATATTACTTGGGTTCGATAGGCGCAGGGGCTCTAGGACGCTAACATGTTCTTCAGTTTACCTGGTCACTGACCTTGCGCTCGGTGGAGAGCTCTTCGACCGTATCTGCCGAAAAGGGAGCTACTACGAATCCGACGCAGCGGATCTCATCCGTGCGATCTTGTCTGCGGTTGCGTATCTACACGATCATGGCATCGTGCATCGCGATCTCAAGCCAGAAAACCTCCTGTTCCGGACTCCCGAGGACAACGCGGATCTGTTAATCGCAGACTTTGGCCTGTCTCGGATCATGGACGAGGAGCAGTTCCACGTGCTCACCACGACATGTGGTACGCCTGGGTACATGGCACCCGAGATCTTCAAGAAAAGCGGCCATGGAAAACCAGTGTACGTCTTGATCTGGGAATATTCCCATCCAGAGCACCTTGCACTTTTCGAATCAAAAGTATCTGACACGTCCCCTTTCGCAGAGATATCTGGGCCATTGGTGTCATCACCTACTTCTTACTCTGCGGCTATACCCCCTTCGACCGCGACTCCAACCTGGAAGAGATGCAGGCCATCCTTGCAGCCGACTATTCCTTCACGCCCCTTGAATACTGGCGCGGCGTCTCGCCCGAGGCGCGCGATTTCATCAAACGCTGCCTAACCATCGACCCCGCCGCGCGAATGACGGCCCACGCCGCCCTGCAACATGCCTGGGTCAACCCGCCCTACGACACCGACGTCGACAAGTTCGGCTCGGGCGAGGATCTCCTGCCGACGGTGAAGAAGAACTTCAACGCACGACGCACGCTCCACAAGGCCATCGACACGGTGCGGGCCATCAACAAGCTCCGCGAGGGAGGAGGGCTCATGATGGACGGCGTGATGAGCGTCGACCCCAAGCCCGAACGCGTCGTTGGGAACGACGTCTACGAGGAACAGCAGTATCCTCTCCAGCACCAGGGAGACCGTGCCGATCACGACGGGGACATGGAAATCGACGGACGGGGCAATGCCCGCGGGCAGACGGAGGAGCAGATTCGGGCCCAAGAACGTAAGGTCAAGGAGACGGTGGCGGGGCTGTGGAGCAAATCTGCGAAGAGATGATATATGCATTGATCACATGTTTCGTGTCTGTCGGATGCTCAAGATAGCCTAGATACCATCTTTTCGTTGCTTCCTCGCTTATTCCCTTGCTTCTTGGCTGATATATATTGATGTCTGTGTGGTCGATCCTACAAATATAATCCTACCAATATACGTACGATGTTTCGAGCACGACGGGTGCTGCATACTGGTTCCAAAATCCAGATCGGAGCCTATCGATTACGAACTATTCTCCCCGGCGGCAGCTGGTTCGTTGAGCTCTGGAAAAAAATGAAGTTTATGTCTTAATCCTATCCAGAAAAAAAAGAAGAAACACGAACACGCCCCCCGCCTTACCCAAAAATGAAACGCACCATCCCCTTCACTCACAATGAAACCACACCATTAGATCATCATTATCATCATCATTAGAGATTCGACCCCAAACATCTCAGACAAAAGGAAGTCTATTCATGAAGGGGCCCCGGGGTGGATCAAAATCACCCAACCAACAACTTCTCACTCCCATCCCCCAACCCCAGAACCCACCGCCGCCACTCCTGCCACTCGGCATATGTACAACTCGCCTTCAGCCCCTGATACTTGACCGCCCTAAAATCCGAGACCTGATCCCATGGCGGCTTGACCGAAGACGTCCCGCCACTACTGGTGTTACTACTATGATGATTACTCGAGCCAGCCCGAAGAAACCGCCTTGCGACACTGCCGTTGCTGCTGCTGCTGTTGTTGTCGTCCCACCCGGCTTTCTGCATCAGGCTCTTAACGGTCTCCTCCTTGGTCCAGCCTTGTTCGACGGCGACGTCGGGGAGGTAGGTGGCACCGTAGCGACGGCCGCGGTGGATGAAGGAGATGCGGAGGCCGTGGAGGCCGAGGATCCAGTCGAGGGCGTTGGTGCAGGGTTCGAAGGTGCCTAGGAGGGTTAGGGAGCAGGAGAGGGAGGGGAGGAGGGTGGAAGGGATGGGGGCGAAGCGGGTGTCTTCGAATGCACTATCAACGGGGTTTTTGTCTGTCAGTGTTTCCAGTTTCCCTGTGGCGAGATTTCTTTTTGTGGGGTTCCCTTACGAGGTAAGAGCGTAGTCTCTCAGGCCCTCGGACAACTCCTGAGCCTCGAAGGTTCCGATACACCCGCGGAGAGACTTGTGGCCGTGGCGCGAGAGGGTGTTCCAGGTTACGAAGAGCGGGTACTCTTGGGGCTCGGGCGGCTCCTCGCGACGGGAGCGTCCGCTGGCGGCGTCAGAGAGCGAGGAGGACCCCGGGGTGGTCAGCGTGGTGGATGTGGTCAGTGTGGAGTGCGAGGAGTTGAGCGATGAGCGCCGAGTCGTCGTGGTGCTGGGGCTGGACTGCAGCCGGTGCACGCTGGGCAGCTTGATCTTCCGGTGACCGCCACCACCACGCCCACCACCTGCGGGTTCGTCGTCGTCGTCGTCGTCATCTACGCTGAGCGGATAGTCCGTCTCCTCTTCGGTGGCCTGCAGCGCGGAGAGTTTCTTGAACTGTTCGTGGCGGGCCCAGAGTTCCTCGACGGAGGCCAGGTCGATGGGTTCCTTGCGTTGATAGGAGGCTGCGAGGCTCTCGAAGCAATAGTAGCAGTGGGCCGGCGTGGCCATCTTTCTCTTCGGCTTGTCTTGTATCTGGGCTCTCGTTGGGGTTGCGTTAAGAATGGCTAGGTTCGTTTACTCCTGTTTGATCTCGCCGCTGAATCCACCTGGCTGTGGCTCTTTCGGTTTCTTGGGAATTTGAAGATCGTGACGAGTACGGCTGTCACTTCCGTCCGGCCTGATGGGATACACGGCTACTTGATGTTGAACTGAGTTAATGGGTCTATGGGTTAGGATGTTCAACGACTATCGAGGCGGCCGTGGTTGAAAATCGGTCAACGATAGAAAAAGCCAGAGAGCCCGTAGAGCACAGCTCACGACCTCAGATCCGCCCGGGAATTGAGTCCGTTAAAGGCCAAAGAGGGGTCGGAGAGAGGGGAAGAAAGAGGGGGGGAAACGGGGCTGACGACACCCAAGCCGATAAGACATTATTATCCCACGTGATACTGCTGAGAAGCGGATTCGGGGCGGGTTTATCCGTAACTCTGTTTGTCCCTCGCTGTCGGGTGATTCACTCAAGAGCTGAGCATGGATGGGATGATCTATAAATAAATAAGCATCTTGAAGTGCATTACACCATTATGAGACTTGAAGCTCGTCAATTCGAGTATGTTATGATTTGACGCTGTCAATCAATCAGGCATCACGACATTTACCGATATATATGTGAGAAGCTTCATCCTCGTCAGCGTGCTGATATATTTGCACATCATGACCAACCTCGTGTCTATATACTTTTGGAGGCAAATTGTTCTATGATCCTTTAGTTCATGGTCAGACGAGCATAAACATCAACGAGGAATTAAGCCATTCCCTCGGTTGTCGTGCTTTGACTTCCATGCATTGACACATGGAGGAATCACCTCCGATGGCCAGTTACCACGAAACTCACTAGTATTCGCGTAGGCCTGCTCGGCTTGCAGCTATCTCCGGACGCAGGACTGCCGTTCTGCGGTTACCTGCCCTTGCGCAAAGTGGGAGCCTTGGTGCAGATGTCTACTTATAGACGTGAAGACGAATTTCGCTCACTAGTGTTCACCAATGAGAAACACTCGAAGCTGGTGGCTTCGAGTAATCAGTGATGGCGGTCATCCTTCGGCATTTTGAGACCCATCATGGAGAGCATGTTTCCTGCCGGCCCGGCAACACCAGCCTGACCATGGAGACTCTCAAGCAGATTCTTTGCAAGGTTGATATCAGAATCGCCCTCATCTAGATCTGGCATCTCATCCTCTTCTTCCTCGCCCGATTTGCCCTCCCCAAGTTTCCGCTGATCTTGAGCTGCCTTAGACCGGCGGTTTAGGTCAAGAATTCCGGTACCTCGAAGTTCCGCTTCCATCTGTCTTGATAATTCCTTGATCTGCTCGGTGTCGTCTTCGAAATCATTGTCGAGCTCTTGCACTCTGTTGAGCGGTGGGTGCCCAAATACGCCCCTCTGACCGTGGCCTGACCCAGACGGCATTCCCATCATTTCCGCCATCATTCTTGAAAACTCCTCCTCATTGAATGAGGCTTCTTTGTCTTCGCCCTCATCGCTCAGCTCATCTTCATCATCTTCATCGTCTTCGTCCGAGCTGAAGTCATCGATAAATTCCGCTCCTTCAAAGCCAGCTGAGTCGTCATTGAGGAATTTTTCAAACTGTGCCACGATGCGCTGCAAGTTCTCTTGTGCATTGGAGTCACCAAAAGCACCCGGTGCACGCGATTTGTCGTCGTTGCCCTTTCCCTTGCCTTTCAGTTCCTGGTCTAAATCCTCAAAGCTGATATCTAGCCACTTCTCGTCATCTTCCTGTCGATCCCAGGTTTTTATCTCTTCATCTGTCGGTAATTGTTCATCTCCAGTATCCAGATCTTCCAAAATAAGGTTCATTTCTCTCACTGTGGCTTTATCCTGATTCTGAGGGTCATTGAGCAGCATTTCGAACCCGCACGCCAGCTTCATGCCTATTTCTGCCCGTCCGTAGGCTGTTTGATCTTCCTTCGCCGGCAACTTCTCAGCCCAGGACTTGGGGATGGGGAAGTCTTGACTTTTAAGCTGTGCGTAACCGACCCGGGTGAAGCGCACGCTGACCGTAACGAAGCCCTCCGGCTTGAAGATGAAGCTGCTGATGTTCTTCGAACGCAAGGGCCGTAATGCGATCGGGTCTCTGAGATAAAAGGCCTCCACGGCCGCGGATATGTAGGCTGGTTTCTGATGTAGCAGGAAAGCGACCTTGCGGGGAATGGTGACCAATGCGGAGTGGAGGTTCTCGTTGATTTGTTGAGGGTAATTGCGGAGACGATAAAATGCTTCCTCTTGTATCATGGTCGAGCGCATGAGTCGCGCGGGTTCCTCCATTATGATCTTCCTCGCATCTGCAAACGACAATTTCTCTGTGACTCTGTCCTTCTTATCGTTTTTCGGCTTGATGATAACGAGTTCACCTTTGTTGATCCATACCTGGGAATGATACAGGTATTAGTAAAGCCAGATGGGTATGATAAATTCGACAGGACAGTGACAAACCCTGTTCTCAGCGACCTCCGGCTCCAGCCACGCAGGCAATGTGGCAGCGGCCTCCACGAGGAGGAATTGTCCGTCACCATCTACAACTCTGGCCCATATATCCTTGTGCTTCTTGGTCAATTCGCGCAACAGATACACAATAACCCATTCATCTTCGATGGAGTCTCCAAAATTGGTGCGCCCATGCAAAGATGTTACCCCTGCAATGGAATCAGTACCAGGGCGCATCAGGCCTGGATGGAGGGGCATCGCATACCGTTATCCTTGGTGATCTCCAGCCGAAAACTTTCGCGCTGCCAGATATAATCCTTCAACAGATCCTTTATCAGTTCCGCAGCAGTATTTTGCACCTCGACCAGTCGCGCTCGCGTTTCTGCAACCTCGTCGAGCGTAGCGGGGGCGGGGCTAGAAGGGATGTGATATAGCGCATAATCAACGGCATCGTCCGGAATCTCTGGCTTGGGAATGGGGCGAAAGGTGGACTTGAACCACTCAAGATCCTCCTGCGACATTGGCGCCATGGTGAGAACCGGTTCCCAGCCGACTTGCCGCGGCTTTCTTTGTGGACTATTGGGTTGTTGTGAGTGATTGGGAAATGAGCTGAAAATGAGCAGTGAGAGAAATAAATTACGGGCAGGACATGACTTCATACCTGGGCGGGACAAAAAAGCAGCGGCAAATTCCCCGGCCCGGAGACTCGAGAGCGTTGACACTAAGCTCGATTGGGCTAGATGTCAACAATACAGTATCCGTCCAGTCTTCACCGCCCAAAACACGTCCATTGCAAGCTCCCGTCCCGTATTATCGCATAGTCGCAATCTTCAGTTGCTCCCCACCACTTTTTCCCCTTCCCTTCCACGAGAACCCTTGTCGCGTGTTTTTGGCGTCCTGAATGATAGCTCGGCCGTCGGGGATGGTCGTTTTTTAATGGCACTCACTTCAGTCTTACCTTAGCCGACTAGTTTGTGCAGCAATCGCGTGTTTCCTCGCCGCCCAACCGAACGACAATGCCGTGGCCCTACATCGATACGCCGCGCACCGAAGTGGATGGAAACGCGACCTACCTCACCAACGGCTACCGCAGCGTGGGCCGACCCAATCTAACGGCACTCGACTCGGTCGAGAATTCATTCCATACGCCATCCAAGGACAACGATGTGCTCAAAGGGTTCGGAGGTGCTGAGAACGCGAGACGCTCGCCCGCGGGCTTCAAGCTCAGCACGCCGCGAGCGGGGTCCGGCCCAAAGGCGAGCCGAAGCGCGTTGAACAGTAGACACGGACTTCCAAACACGGCCATTCCGAAGGGGGAGTTTACCCCCCTGATGAGAAGCGCGACGAAGAACAATTTCCTGAAGAACGTGTCGACGACGCGAAGGCATGGGTCCAAGACGCCAGGCTATACGCGAACAAGCTCGTTGAGCGCGGTCAACACCCCTGGGTTGCCGTCGATGGAGATGACGGATATTGACGAGGAGGACGCGACGGATGAGCAGCGGACCCCAATGCCTCAGGACAGTAGCATGCAGAGTACACCGCTCCCGGCTTTGTCCAGGGAAGGAGGCATGGACGGGCAGCAGAATATGATGTCCTTACGGGAACAGGAAAAGGTAACCTTGCTGCATCTTGAGAAGACTTTCGCTCTCCCGCTTGACGGAGCTTTTTCTGACTATCTTAGATGATCGATCAACTCGAGAAAGACAATTTTGGATTGAAACTGAAGATTCACTTTCTACAAGAACAACTGCAGAAGGCGGGCCCCTCGCACAATCAAGCAGCGTTAAAGGAAAATACCGAACTCAAGGTTTCGAAATTGACGATGCAACGCGATATTGCACGATACAAGAAGAGCCTCCAACAAGCCGAGCGCGAATTAGAATCCTACCGCATTGAATTCCAAGAGCTGAAGGAGAAGTCACGGATGCGGCAATCGGACGACACAATACAGCGCGAGATGGATTTGATGAGAGAGGAGGTGGAAGCGAGGGACAACCAAATCAGAGAGCTCCAAGAGGAGCTACGAGACGAAAAGGACAACCAATCACGGGAAATGGAGAAACTCCGAGATGAAATCGAGGATCTGGAAGCATCGCTAAGGCAGAAGGATCGGACGATCGACGAACGTGACGAGGAGATAGAAGAATTGAAGGATAGGGATGGCAAGGAGCGCGATGCCCTCTCCGAGCTGGAAGCAGAACTTCAACGTGCGAAAGAGCAAATAGAAGAGCTGCAGGATTCGCTAAGCCAAGCTAAGCTAGAAGCGAGGGAAGCGAGAGACGCCGGACTAGAGGCCGTCAAGGAGAAGGAACAAGCCCAACAAGACCTCCAGGAATTGCATGATGAAATGGCAAACAAGTCTATCAGCACGAGTGGACTAACCCGTCAGCTCGAAGAGAAGGCGAACAAGCTTGAGGAAGAATGGCGGAGCCTACAGCAGGAGAACAGCACTCTCAAGAGAGAACTCGACAACAAGGCCCGGAACGAGAATCGTCTCGAAGAGCAGTATCGGGAAGGCCAGCGGAGCTTTGATGACAAGGAGCGCAAATTCCACAATGATATCGCGCAGGCAAGACGGGAACGTGACCTTTCTCGGCAAGAACGTGATAAGTTGGCAGCTCAATTGCAGGATGCACTGGACGAAATCCAGCGCAAGGCTGATGAGAAAGAACTGCTACAAACCCGACACAGCGCTTTGACGGATGAATCCGGTAGTCTACAACATGACTTGGCCAACGCACAAAACAAGATTCGAGAGCTACAGCAAGCGGTCGAGGACGAGAGACATCGTGCACTGGACCAAGCCAACATTATTCGTACTCAATACAAGGACGAAGTGGAGAGGCAGCAAGAAGAAATCGAAGCCCTGCATCATGAGATTGAGGACAAAGAAGGACAATTTGCGCTTGAGCAGGACAGATGGGAGAGCGCAAGGCGCACCCTGCAGCTCCAGAAGGACAGGGCTGAGGACCAGGCGGCTGGCTTTAAGCGCACGATTGAGAAGCTCGAACAAGTGGAGCATACTCTGTCTGGAAAAGAGATGAAGTTGCAAGAAGTCATTGACAGCGAAAAGACGCGACATTTTAACTCGGAGGCTGTCCTGAGTCGACAGGTCAAGGAATTGAACGACGACCTGACATCAAAGCGAGAGATAATTGACGAACAGAGGAACGAACTCTTGTCCACCAGAGAGGAATTGAGACTTGTACGACGCGCAGAGACGACTCTCCAAGAGAAAATCCAAGCATTGGAGGATGAGATTGTGGTCCTGCAAGCAAACCTGGAAGAAGAACAGGAATTCGCTAAGGGTCGTACACAGAAAGGATCCTTGGAGCAGGACAGTCAGGTGCAAAAGCTGTTAACAGAAAAGCAAAGACTTCGGGATCAGCTTGCGAATGCCCACGTGGAATTGCACGACTTACGGACTTCTTTTAGCGAGATTGAAGCTGAACGCGATGAGCTCCAAAGCCAGCTTGACCAGGTTCAAAATCAGGTTGACGACACGACACGTTTCGACAAAGAGAAGGTTGACCTGCGCAAGTCGACTCTGCGTCTCGAAGCCGAGCTCAAGCGCCTTAAAGAAGACAAGTCATCCCTTCTTGAGGCGAAGGAAACACTGGAGAAACAGCTTAGCACTGAGATTGAGCGTGCTACGCTGGAAGAGAACCGTCTTTCGGCAGAAATCGACCAGCTCCAGGATAAGCTACACACAACTTCCGGGGGCAGGGAACGTGAACTCGCTCTCGCCAAAAGTAAGATACAACGTCTCGAGAGACGTATCCAAGAACTCGAAACACTCCTTCATGAGCACCCGCATACTGAGCCTGAGCTTGAGCATTCAACTGCACACGCGGACCTTTCGATGCTCCGGCATGGCTTAGACGAAGCACGGAAACGTGAGAAAGTGCTTCTCCAGCGGGAAGCTGAGCAGAAATCGTCCGTGCGGGCCTACAAGGCACGAATTTCCGAGCTCGAGAGGGAACTGCATGAATCCTTGATGAATAAATTCGAAACCCGATCACCATCATCGTCACCCTCAAACAAGCTCCATGATGAACTCCGCAGCATGCGGAAGCAACTGTCCGAAGCACACCGAGCACTCAAGGAAGTGAAGCAGAAGAACCGCGACCTGGAGCGAGCTGCCATGAGAGAAGAAGACCAACGTGACCTCCATGAACTACTCAAATCATCCACCCTCGAGGCCGAAGAGCTCGCCCTCAAGGTATCGGAGCGGGATGCCCGTCTCAACGAGCTCAAGTCCCAAATGCGCCGAATCCGCGATGAGCGGTCGTTCTGCGCGCGTAGAGCCGAAATGTCTCTCAAGGAACTCGAGGCTCTGCAAGATCGTTACGACCAGCTTGTGGAGAAGCTGGGAACCAGGACCGACAGCAAGACCCGACACGAAAAGGAAATTCTGGGTCTCGGCAAGGAGATCATCTGGCTCCGTGCTCGTCTAAAGCGAGAGGAGAAATTCCGTCGCGATCTGGCTTGGAGTAAGGGATTGATGGAGCTGGGCGAGCGCGTCCGGGTTGCATGGTACGTATACATCCTCCCTTTCATCTCACGAATCAGACCACGCCACAAGATAACTGACTCTCTATCGTTTCACACCAATGCAGCAACGAAGCCGACCTGCGCATGATCTCCGACATGGGCGTCAAACCCAGAGACCGCACCCCCCTCCGGACTCCCCAAGCGAAACTCAAGACCGCCATCTCCATGGTCAAAGCCATCGTCCGCATGCGACGAATGAGCCAGGACTGGAAGAAAACCAAGAAGATCGGCGAAGGGTTGAAAAGGGCCAAGAACGAAGTCATGAAGCGAAGAGAGTCTTCGAACAAATACTGACGAAAAAGTTTTCAAGTTCAAGCCCCGTCGTCGTGGACGGAGCCAGCCTATCAGCTCTGCCACCTTTTGGCAACAACCTTTTGCATAGATGCTTTATTCTGTTTTAGTTTCTCTCCATTCCCTCACTCGCACTTGCGCTGTTTTGTATGTGACTTGGTTCAAACTCAACATCCAGTCAAGAGCGGTCTGTCATATATTTTCACTTTTGCTTTTCCGCCCCCTCCGCCCGGAAATTTCGGCACCTTTGATGATAAGAAGATTCCCCGACGTGTTTGTGTGCTTTCTGCGCTTTTGAGATCATGAGCCTGTTGTGTGGTCTCATGTGGCGTTTTCGTTACTTTCGTGCTTTTCTGGCCTCTTTTCTTGTTCTGTTCTTTGCCATAGGATGGATGGATGGATGACTTTGTTTGAATAGCCTGATTGATTTCGACTGAGTACAGTACACGGAACTACACCCCTTACATTCTTAGACTGTACCGAGCTGTTGGTGCGTCTTAGAACATGAACCCCCCAGCCGAATGAATGCACACACATCTGCATTGAGTTTTTTATAACCTGGATATGGGTTTCGCTCAATCGGTTGTTTGAATGCCAAGGTTCGAAGACCGGATTCATCAACACAAGATGCTAATAGTAATGCTTTCATGAAATTGTACCAATAACAAAGGTGACATCTGTGAGGTATGCTTCGAGGGCAACCCAGGTGAGTGGTAAATAGAAGTAGTGTTTTAACTCGAAGTAACAGCATCAAGTAACGCCTCGCCTTGCCACATATTCGAATCAGAAGAAAATCAACAGAGGAAAAAAAGCTCCTAACACCGAGGTCATGGTGAGAAGGGTTTGCAGAGAAACATTAGCGCAAGAGGCAGGAAAACGGCAGCACAAGAGGCAAAAAAAAGTGTATATATAGAAGCAAATGGAAACACAAGCATAGGTCATTCCTTTCGTTCATCCAACTCGGTTAGTAGTGAAAATCAGAGAATCAGATCGGCGTTTCAGTGCAAAAACCAACGGAAAAAAAGATTAGGTCCCTTTAAGTTTGACTCTATATCAGGATCGGATGGTTTAAAGGAGAGGGGTAGGGTGGTTCTGAATGGACGAGAATACAAAGGCTCAGGCACCCTCACTGCCGAATTCTTGCGTCCATTCGGAGTTTCTTTGCAGATCCTCCTGGCTGACGGTTGGTCTGGAGTTGCGGACAGCCTTGATGAAGTCTTTGAGGATTAGTGGTGGCTCCAAGAGCTTCTCTGCGTCCACGCTTGTCCATGTCATCTCGATGGCGCCCTGATCGCCAGGTGAGCAAGGCGTGAGCTTCTCCGCACCGTCGACGATGACCTAATCGTGGTTAGTCGGCTAGGAACTAGGAAGAAAGGGGGGATATTTACCTTCTTGTAGTGCGTCGCGGTCTGAATCTTCCGAATGGGCTGCATTAGCGCATCCTGTACCGCAATGCTGATATCACTGCCCGAGTAGCCCTCGCTCATCTCAGCCAAGGTCCGATAATCGGCTTGCGTCATCTCACACGGCGTGGAGCCGACGGCCAACATAAACATCTTCATGCGGGCGTTGATATCTGGGAGACTGATGTGGACTCTCCGTTGGAAGCGGCGACGAATGGCAGCATCCAACTGCCACGGGATATTGGTCGCACCGAGGATGAGGACGCCCCTGGAGTCCTTTCCGACACCGTCCATCTGCACGAGCAACTCGGTCTTGATACGCCGGGACGCCTCAGACTCTCCTTCTCCACGGGGGCCGCAGAGGGCATCGACCTCGTCAATGAAGATGATAGCGGGCTTATTTTCTCGGGCCATGTTGAACAGCTGCTTCACGAGCCTGTGAAAGGGAAACCATTAGCGCCCCAAAATTCTGTCTAGTCTCACAAACACGAGCAAGCATCCATACCTTTCACTCTCACCCATCCACTTGGACACCAAGTCACTGCTACTGACACTGAAGAAGGTACTGTTCGCCTCCGTCGCGACGGCCTTGGCAAGATACGATTTACCCGTACCGGGCGGCCCATACAGCAAGATACCCTTCCACGGTTGTCTCTTCCCCGTGAACAGATGCGGGAACTTGATCGGCAAGATGACCGCCTCCTTCAAGGCCTCCTTCGCGCTCTCCAGACCTGCAACATCCTCCCACTTGACGTTCGGTTTATCCGACAGAATCGCTCCCGCCAGAGCGGACCGTAACTTCTTCGCATCGGCATCCTCACCATCATCATCTTCTTTCCTGTTACAAAGTGAAACAGTCAATTGTCAGTATCCAGCCGATCCAGAATGATTCCCGATGAAGAAGAAAAAGCATGGAACGAGAGCCTCTTCTTCTTCTTGTGGCAAGAAAACATACCCTCCCTTCCCACTCCCTTGCGCGACCTTCCCATTCGCGCCGACAGCACTCGGCTTCTTCCGCCCCTCCTGCGAGGCGAGGTGGTTCTTGAGCTTCTCGGCGCGATCCATGTATTCGCCGGTCTTTGCGCGGATCATCTCCTTGGAGCGGGGGTTCTTCTCCCATTTCAAGGCCAGCATGAATAGCTCCAGGGCGGAGTAGTAGAGCTGGTAGGCCTTCTCGTATTCGCCCTCATTGTCGTTCTCGATGGCCTTTTTGACGGTGTCAATTGCCCGGCCGAGGAAGTCGGTGTTGCTCATGGCTGTGCTTGAATGAACAAAGAGGTGAGAAGAAGAAAGCAAGCGCGCGGGCTGACAAGGTAGTTTGTTTTTTTGTTTTTTTTTTCTCCCGGCTACGTAATGATGCTTTGAAGGGGTGGTGGAGGGAGGATGCCAGGGACACACGGACAGGGAACGGAGGAGGGCGAAAGGCGGGGAGAATGACAGTACCTAGACCGAGACCGAGGAGTGGCTGGGTTGATTGGTTGCTTGGTGCTAGGTGATTAGGTATGAGATCAGCGTAGCAACAAAGTGTTGCGACTGGATCACAAGGTTGAAGTCGCGCAAGATCCCAAGTAATTTATTATGCTGAAGATATTCCTGGGGGGAACGAATTGTAGAAGAAACTGAATGAGATTGAGAGATAGAGAGAGAGAGAGGTAGGTTAAGTTGAGATGGCAACAAGTTGAACCCGTCCTCGTTCCCCCCACTGGGTTGTTTACCGTCTCTGGTTTTCTGCCGCTCCGCCTGGCCGTTTTTGCCCCTCCGAGCCGCCGCCGCTGCTGCTGCCCGCCCGCACCTGGTCACAGCCTATTCTGTTGGTTAACTTTCCCCCCTCCTTCTCAATAGTCCTATAGAACCCTATATAACAACATATCACAAAAATGGCGGACGCTCAGAAGAAAATGCAGGCACTCTCGGATGAGTTCCAGCAATTGCAGACTGGTGGGTACTCTTTTTGAATCTCCGCCCGTGGGCTGTCCATCCAGCGCAGCGCAATCGCGTCATATGTGCAGGGAAGCTCATTTGCTAACGAGAATTCACTGCCAGAGCTCGACGGTCTTGTCGATGCGCGCCAAAAGCTCGAATCTCAGCAACAGGAGAACTTGGGTGTACAGAAGGAATTCGACTCGCTCGATGACGAGTCCAACATCTATAAGCTGATCGGTCCCGTGCTGTTGAAGCAGGACAAGACTGAGGCGGTGATGGCTGTCAATGGACGGTTGGAGTTCATTGAGAAGGAGATGTATGCCACCCACCATATCCCGCACAAGTACTAAAAAAGAGGTCTAATGGTTGAGCTACAGTAAGCGGATCGAGGGACAAATCCAGGAGAACCAGGACAAGGCGGACAAGAAGCGTACCGAGGTAAGCTTGACTTGATTGGAATCCGAAGATGGGACAACTGATTCTGATGGATTCTACAGATCGTTCAGTTCCAGACTCAGGTCCAGCAACAAGCCGCCGCTGCTTCTGCTTGAGTGGTGAAGGATGGTATACTGGGTTAGCTCTAGAAGAACGATGAACGGCCCCCCACACCTTCGAAGCATGGCAGGGACGGGTGCATCAGAACGACGGACCTGAATGCACTCGCATTGTCGGCGATAATGCGCGGGGTGATATCTCAGCAACACAGTTGCATTCAACTCGGACGACGATGTAGAGAGACGATTGGTGAGATTTCCAGTGTGGGACCTTAGCCAGCCTACTTTACTGGTTGATGGAAAAAGTATGTGGTTTTAGATACCCTTGCAATGATTCAGTTTTGTGGTTTCTTGCCTCTTCCTCAATCGATCACCGGTGATACTGTCCCTAAAAGGGACAGAAAGAACCATCATATCGCTTAAAGTAATATTACCGGGTTCCAGGGAGCTACCAATTCAATATCCTAGTTGTTCCATGTGTGTAACCAATCACGCTCTACAATTCACTTGATGCCCTTCGGGCGCTCCATTAAGATTCATCGCTTCATAAATCGCCGTATCTAGAACCTGAAATATACTCTATACACTAAATCTATGCCTTAACCAAAAGACTGCGTCCGGACATCTCCTCAGGCTGCTCAACGCCCAAGGCAGCCAGGATAGTGGGGGCGACGTCACCGAGGACACCATCCTCCTTCTTGAGGCTCCAACCCTCGGGAGCGTTGGCCATGATGAAAGGAACCTTGTTGGTGGTGTGGGAGGTCTTAGGGGTGCCCTTCTCGTTGAGCATCTCCTCGGCGTTTCTGGAGGGAATTGTTAGCGGGTCGTATCAATCAGAATTACGATAACGACTCACCCATGGTCAGCAGTGATGAACAGAATGTAGTTGTTCTTCTTGCAGGCCTCGTAAATGACACCAATAGCCTTGTCGGTCGCAGAAACACCCTCGATGGCAGCTTCATAGACACCGGTGTGGCCGACCATGTCGGGGGGAGCGAAGTTGTTCATGACGAACTCGAAGTTGCCCTCACCAAGACGCTCGGCCATCTTCTCACCAACCTCCTTGGCGCTCATCTTGGGGTCCAGGTCGTAGGTGGCAACCTTAGGCGAGGGAATCATGTCGCGCACCTCACCGTCGAACTGCTTCTCGATACCACCGTTGAAGAAGAAAGTGACGTGGGCATACTTCTCGGTCTCGGCAACGTGGCATTGCTTGAGGTCCTTCTTGCTGAGCCACTCAGCCAGCACATTACCCATGTGCTGAGGGGGGAAAGCAACGGGGAAGGTGTAATCGGTCTTATACTGGGTCATGGTGGTGATGTGGATGTCCTTGGGGTAGGGGAAGTCGGCCTTGGGGGAGCGGTCGTAGTCACCCAACAGCTGGGTGATCTCACGAACACGGTCAGAGCGGTAGTTGAAGAAGAACAGGGTGTCGTTGTCTGTCGAACATTATCCGTCAGTACGCCTATTCATCCACGCCCCGAAAGGAAGTGAAAACATACCTTGGACACGTCTGTCTTTGCCGCCGACAATGATAGGCTTGAGGAACTCGTCGGTCTCCTTCTTCTCATAGCGCTCGTTGATCGTCTTGACGGGATCCTCGCTGTCTTCACCCTCTCCGGTGACGATACCCTTCATGGCGATCTCGACACGGTCCCAGCGCTTGTCGCGGTCCATGGCCCAGTAGCGGCCAACGACGGTAGCGATCTCACCGACGCCAATTTCCTTAGTCTGGTCAAGCAATTGCTGCATGTACTTGGCGGCACTCTTGGGATCAGTATCACGTCCATCACCGAAGAAGTGGATGAAGACTTGGGGGATCTCCATCTCCTTAGCAACCTTCAGCAGACCGACCAGGTGAGTGATGTTGGAGTGGACACCACCGTCGGAGACCAGACCCAACAGGTGCAGACGGCCGTTGCCCTCCTTAGCCCGCTTGAAGGAGGCGACGACGTTGTCGATCTTGTTGAGCTCACCCTTCTTCAGAGTCTGGTCGATGCGGACGCTGTCCTGCCAGACGACACGACCAGCACCAATGTTCAAGTGGCCAACCTCACTGTTGCCCATGAGACCCTCGGGCAATCCGACGGCGAGGGACGAGGCATCGAGTTCGGTGTAACCCTGGGCAGTCTTGGAGTCGGCCTCGGCGAAGCCGGACATGAAGGGGGTCTCTGCGGCGAGGATGGCATCACCGTCCTTGCGGGAGTCGGGGCCGGCGACACCCCAGCCATCGATGACGACTGAGCAGAAGTGTTAGTCGAATGGATTTAGTATAGAGTGGTCAAGGGGAATGACTTACTCAAAGCGACCTTCTGATCAACCTTAACCATGGTGAAGTTGTGCTGAATGGAAATTGGCTGGTCAGCGAATTCAACGGCAGGGCAAAGGAAGGGTAGGTATAGTAGCGACGTATAGTTCCAAGCATCGTGATTGGGGAATGGGAAAAAGACATACCGTATACTTACTTGAATTTGAATAATTGGGAAGGGATAATAGGAAGAGGAATTGAAGCAAGGAGGGGAAAGAGAATCAAGAAAAAAAAGAAAAAGAAAGAACGAAAGAGGAAGAAGAGTAGGTGGAGAGATCGGAGTAAAAAGGCTGGCCCGGTGAAAACAACTGGGTTGGGATGATGGATTGAGGGGGAGGGGCTCTTTTCCAGGCTTGGGCTTTTTCTTCCCGGTGACGCTTTGGGGTTGTTTTCTTCCCGACGTCACTTCCTCTGCTAACCGCCAACTGCTCACTGCTCACTGCTCACTGCTCAGCTTTGCTCACTGCCCGCACTTCTTTCTCCTGCCGGTCTTGTCCGCCCGCAACAACAAACTTACCTCCACGTTCCGGCTCTTCCCTAAACAATTACCCAGCAACCCGAAATAAGGGGCCCCATATTTCGTCTCTTGCTCAGTTCCCACTCCTGCTGCTGTCAGTCTTTCATACTGCAACGCAAGAATACACTAAGCCGACTTTCGCCGTCCCGGTGTCCTCCCTCTTCCGATAATGGCGTCCAGATCCCCCACGGCCTTCACACCCGCAGCGAAACCACCACCCTCCGCGCCCGAAACCCCCATCGTGAAGGACACCCCCATTACACCTCAAGCGGTTCCATTCCCGCCCCCGCAGACTTTTGATATCATTCCGCCATTGCACGGTCTTCTGCTTCGCCTGCTTGCATCCCCCGGGACGGCTGGGAATGGTGTCAGGGCCGCCGAAGTCAACAGTGGAGGCTCGGGCCCGGTCGGACAACCCACAAGTGCTCCTAGCCAGTCTCACTCACAGCCTGGGAATGAAAGCCACGGCCACCCTGGAGTGCTGGTGACTGTTCCATCCGCAGGACCTGGACCGGTTTCCGCCTCGGCCGAACTTGCAGCCTTGGGATCGAATGCGCCCCCACCGCTCGACATCAAAGATCTCCCGACCGAAGTCAGCTCGATCAAGATTCGAATCCAGAAAGCGCAGACAGTGGTGGAGAATTTGCCAGATGTCGACCGCTCTGTTGCAGAGCAGGAGGTGGAGATCCAGGAGCTCGAGGACCGTATCGCAAAGCTCAAATCAGTCATCTCTGATTTTGGCCGGAGAGCCAGTCCTCGGAGTGCGGGAAAGTCAAGAATCACTGAACCTTGAGGGCTCTGAGGGATAGAAAATATGGTCTGCCATGATTTCGGTCATCACCATGGGCGCAGGACGCTTCTTCTCGCAGGCGACTAGTATCAAGCATGCATACTTGGGCACGCTGGATCATCCAAGTGAATCATGTCGATTGTTGGGTTGGGTATTCCACAGATGCTGGTTTTAGTGGCCCAGCACACTGCAATGTAGCCTGATCATCGAACCCCTGGCTGTTGACACGGTCAATTGACTCAGACTGTTGTTGATTGAAGGTCGCTGCGCTATGAAGAGGCCCGCGTACTCTACCTGAAGCCACAGCAATACAAGGCAATAAGTTGCCACTGCAGCTGTTCGAGAACTGCAGATACTTGAATAGTACTTACCACCATGGCCGTTCTGACCTTCACCACCTACGTTTGCCATGCTAGCAGCATGCTAGCAGCATGCTAGTGGCTGAACAATGATTCACAGAAGCTGCTCTCAAAAAAAGCTGCTCTTAAAAAAGCTGCTCTTAAAAAAGCTGCTCTTAAAAAAGCTGCTCTTAAAAAAGCTGCTCTTCAAAAGCTGCTCTTCAAAAGCTGCTCTTCAAAAGCTACTCTCAATCAATCCTGCAGGTGGGAAGTGCTGTTCATTATGCTTGACAACCCCGCCTCTGGCCTCCACGGTCCTCATTCTGCATTGGGATGAAACCTGCAGATACATCAGGTGGAATCGATCTGCAAGGAAGGACTTTCGGAGTCATCATTGACCTGATGGCAGGCGAAGGGGTGAGTTGCAGTTTCTTTTTGGGGCTTTGCGGGGAACGGACGTCTGCGTAAACCCAGAAAAACAGTTGATGAAGCTTCTAAATTTTGGTGAATATTATCTCTACTTGTAAGGCTTGCTTGCGTGACCTGGAATCCAGCTCCGGCTTTCGTATAGTCGGAAATAATGCACTACATATACGTAAACTGGTCCGATTAGTATCCATCGGGGATTGAATTGCTGGTGCCGCTTGCTTGCTCGGCGAGCAAGCTCCAGTGGATACTTTGCGACGGTGAGTCAGACCGTGGTTTTACTAGCAACCAATTTTTCTGGCGGTTTGGCGGTTGGGCGGTTTGGTTTGAATCTAGACAATTTATTTATTCGGAATGTCGTATTAGAGCACCAATCAAAGGAAAACGATGTGCAAGCTACATGATTGACTTTTGACAGAGAAAGGATTGAGGCAGGCGATGAATAATAGCGGCGACTAACAGCATAGAACAAACACTCCGTAACCCACGGAGGAGTCGGCGGGTTTTCTCAAGCACGGCTCCGATGTCGTTCCCGGACTTGCGACCGCCTCCGGATTTTTCTTAGTGGGAATTATTTTTT